TATCTGACTTAAAATTTTATTTTTATTAATCTATTGATATACAATAATTATATTATATTTTAATTAATTTAAAATTAAATCTATTCAAATTCTTTAAAAAAAATTTTAAAAATTTATTTCTTTACTTATAAAATTTAAGCTCAAAATATTATTAAAAAAAAAAAGAATTCCTTCACTTTAATCAACGGAGGTTCGGTGACTTTAAAATTTTTTATTACTACTGGACCTATGCTATGCTTAAAAAATGGCGGAGAAAAAGGGTGATAAATTGAGAAAACCGCGTAGATAAATTAGTATTAGTAGTGATACCTCCGTCCCACGCGGTAGTATTTTTCTCTTCTGACACACAAAATCCAAACCTGTCTTCATCTGGTAAAGGCTTTGTCTCAGTTCCGGCAAGTCTGAACTGCCCAGGACGGCGGGCACTTGGTGTATTTAGACAGCTCCTAAATTTTGGTGTAATCACCGTCCCATTTGGCTATAATTGCGGGCAATCCTATCCGATTATCTTCGCCAATTTGGCCTCTTTTGCGGTGCACGATCGTCCATAGAATTTCTGATTCATTCTGCTGACGAGCTAGGGTTGCATATAACCAGGTATAACAACAATTAATATACCTTAATCAATTCCCACAGTTTCCTTTTCCTTGTCCCCTGATTTTTCTGTTCTAGGGATTTTTCTAGCTGTTACTGAAAGTGGGTTTCTTTTTCCTTTTTTTTTTTTTTTTTGGGGTTAGAGGTGACTAGGGTTTGTGGGGATGTTGTGTGTCAAGTAGTTGAAGCTATGAATGAAAATGGAAGGTTTTAGTGGTGGTGGTAGTAAGATGCAGAAGCTTCATTCTTCTTCAGTTCCAAAGCAGCAGAGCAATATGGATTTGCCCTATTTCAGTGCTTCTCAAATGGGTGCTCCAATGAATCCGTTTTCCCAAAATTTCGGTCATGAGAGCTGTAATAAGAGACCTGGGATTCCTCCCTCACACCCAAACAACTCTGGTTCGACGTCCTATTCACAGATCATGGGTTCTCGTCCAAATTCTCAACAATTGGGTTCGCAGAATTTGAAGCAGGGGCCTGGTCATTCAAGATCATTATCTCAGCCAACATTCTTTTCTCTGGATTGCTTGCCCCCGTTGAGCCCGTCCCCTTATCGGGAGCCATCCATGTCCTCTCTGTCTGACCCTATTTCTACTGATGTGTACATGGAGGATAGGGTTGTGAATTCTGCTGGAAAGTCATCACTTCCTTCTCCTGTTGCAATAGGTAATAATGAATTTAGAGCTGGTGAGAGTTTACCTCCCCGTAGAGGACACAGGCGGTCCAACAGTGATGTTTCTCTGGGATTTTCTGCTGTGATTCAGTCTTCGCCTCAGTTGATACCTATTGGGACTCGGGGAGCATTGGAGAGACAGGTTACGGGAAGGGAGAATTTGGGGGCGGAGAAACCAATTCAGTTAGTGAAAAAGGAATCTGAATGGAGTAAGGATGGTAATGGCAATGCAGATGGGTTCGGTGAACGGAAATCGGAGGGAGAGGATGTGGATGACTTGTTTAGTGCATTCATTAATTTGGACAATATTGATACATTGAACTCTTCTGGTACTGAGGAAAAGGATTTGGATAGCAGAGCCAGTGGCACAAAGACAAATGAGGGTGAAAGCAGTGACAATGAAGTGGAGAGCAGAGTAGGTGGATATCCAATCAGCCTGCAGGGGACAAGCATTTCGAGAGAGAGGAAGGAAGGACTCAAGAGGCGTGCTTCTGGAGATATTGCCCCTTCTGCACGACATTATAGAAGTGTTTCAATGGATAGTTACATGGGAAGTCTGCAATTTGATGATGACTCATTGAAGCTTCCTCCACAAAATTCAGGGGGTCAAGGATCTCCCGGTGACTCAATGGATGCAATTTTGACTAAGTCCAATTTGGCGCTTGGTAATGATTTTTTCACTCCAGCTGAGATGAAAAAGATCATGGAAAATGAGAAACTTGCAGAGATGTTATCTGTAGACCCGAAACGTGTCAAAAGGTGCTGAGTATCTGCATATTCAGAAAAGTTAATTTCATGTTATTGGACGTATTTGATCATCTTGAATTATTGATAACAGGATTCTGGCTAATCGTCTGTCAGCTGCTCGTTCCAAGGAGCGAAAGATGCAATACATTGTTGAGTTAGAACACAAGGTGCAAACTTTGCAGACAGAGGCAACCACTTTATCTGCCCAGCTAACGATGTTGCAGGTGGGTAGAATGTGCTGATTCTGATTTATTGTTCTTCCTTTTTATTTCTTTGCTTGGTATTTTTTACTTGACATTTTATTTGGTCTTCCTTGTTCAGAGGGATTCAGCAGGGCTGACAACACACAACAATGAGTTGAAATTCCGCCTTCAGGCCATGGAGCAACAGGCCCAATTGAAAGATGGTATGTATATGATTCCTTATTATACTGGCTGCCTTTTATCAGTTTAGCAACTGTTGACTTAATTTCTACACTTCATTTTTAAATTATTGTCATGTCATACACAAACTTGCATGCCTGGCACCTGCACAGACCATTGTTATCTATGTCAAGTAATTAATTTTATGATCTGTTATTTTGTTGGCAGTCTGGTTATTATTTACATTCTTCTGGATTTAACTGCAGGTCTTATAGTTACTGTTACTGCAGTAATTGTAAAGAACATGTGTTTATGATGCAAGTTCTGTGGTACAATCCTATCATCCAGTTTGTAGGACTTTATTTGTGTGGTTGGTTCTTTGCTGCTCTTCTCTAGGTTTCTGAATGTGGCAGCTCAATTCAGAGTATCTTAAAGGCCATAAAGGAACCATAGTTTTCTTGTTCTAGTTTTGCAAGTTCATTCCCTAGATGATAGGTAATTGTTTCAGACAATGGAAATTAACTACCGCATCCCAGAATTGATTGGAGGATATTAAACAGTAGAAAACAGCATTAGATGAAAAAAGAATAGACACTGTGTGATGGCTTGCCATTGTATGGAAGTATCTTTGGACATCAAACCAAGGAGAGTAAAAGAAAATACTGTGACAATGAGGTGCTGTTGAATAACTGCAGCACAAACTATCATAGGGTTTGACAGGTAATTAAGGAGAGTGAAGCACTCTCATTAAGTCAGTCTATTTGAACCTTCCTTCTTCTTTTTTTCTGCTACTAGTAATATTAAGTGCAACCAATGCCAGTGTACAAGGTGATGTTATTGTTTAGACTCTAGAGGGCTATGGAAGCCTCTTTTGTTTGCAATGATTGGATGCTTTAGTATATATATTGACATGTTCTTGAGGATGCATCATTTCCGTGGTCTTTGTTGTATAGAGGTGTATATATGATTATCAAGAATCCTAGATTGATTTATGAACTACAAAAAGAATTATTTTTATCGTGGAGGTGATATTGATCAAGAAAACTGTACCTGTCCTTTTCTTTCTCCTCTCAATGAAACTTGACTGTTAGTCCATTATCAACTTAGAGATTCTTTTGCTATATTGGGCTGAAAGATTAGTCTGATTTGTGCAGCTTTAAACGATGCATTAGCTGCAGAAGTCCAGCGATTGAAGCTTACTGTGGCAGAACTTAGTGGAGAATCTCAACTCTCAAACTGCATGCTGCAACAGCTTTCCCTCAACAACCAAATGTTCTCATTGCAGCCACAGCAGCAAAATGCTTATCCGATGCAACAGCAATCCCCACAGCCAGCTCAAAACAACCAGTCCCAAACCCAGGACCAGAATGGTGAACCTACTGCAAATGAGTCCAAGTGATAGGCCAAGTCAACCCCAGGTCTCCATGCATTCTCATTTGCAGAACTGCATTTCAATTAATTTTCTTCATATACATACAAACTCCTATATCCATTATTAGCATATTTTTTGTATTGATTCTCCTAAGTATTTGACCATTGTTTTGTTTGTTGCTTTCATTGTGTTGCCTATTGGCATAGAAAAACCTACTGCATGTTTCTATGAACAATCAAATGGTATCATCATTCTTATATGTATTACCAATTGCTAAGAATTCTTTAGTCTCTCAGTATTTGCAATCAGCGATGATATGGGCCCTATGGTCCTGCTCCAGCATGTATACATGTTCCCTGAATTTTGAAGCCCTAATATTTAGCCCACTGGCAAGTTGCCCCACATGTTCCAAATGAAACCCACCCAACAAGAGCATGGCTGGCACTTCTGTGTTTTAAGCAATCCAGCCAATGCCTTTTTTTTGTCTGTTTCAAGAGAGAAATACCAATGAAAACATAGCAAACATCAGTGCATCGTATGGAACAAAGCATGTCTCATATTGACACAGTCATGATTCATGAATGAGGCCTTTCGTTTGTACTGTGTAAGAGCAATAATAATAATAAAAATAAAATTCTCATAAAATAAGAAGTTAGATGACAAAAAAAATGAGGTGGTTCCAAAGAGCTCATCTCGTGACTTCTAATCTCAAATGCACCCGTGAAGCCGAGTCAAAACTATGTTTTCTGTCATTTTCCTTGCCTCTGAATGTATTCTATAGAAAAGAAGGAAAAGAAGATTCTTTGATAATGCTGGAATCTTAAGTATTTGATTATTTGTAAGCAATTTATGCATCAAACAATTAAAGGCATTCCTTCAAAGCGAAATGTTGCAACAGTCTTTTTGTCTTTTAGTTTCATGAGTCTTAAAATGGAGGTCACTTGATTATATGATGCAATTTGTTCATGCAGTGAAAAAGGCCTACGCCAACCACACAAACGTGAAAGAAACATGAATTCCAAGGGAAAAAAAAGGAAATATCAGTTCCCATTTCCTCATCTGATAAGGGTTTCACATTTTTGAATTGAGATTAGAAAATTTAATCCTAGAAGCAAAGAATGCTTGCTTATTCAGAAGCAAACACCTGCATTAGGTGTAGGAAAGCCCTAAGAATGCCAGGGATGAAACTGTATGTAGCAGGAAAGAATATTCCCAACACAAAACATCAAAATTGGTTTGCCACCAAAAAGCCTGCCCAAACCCCCACATATCAGCAAGCATATTAGTTCTCCACATTATCAACTTTAATATAGCACCAGTTCGGTTAAAATTTGGTCACACATGCCAAACTTCAGCGTTGACAAGAAATTATTTATCAGGATCAATAAAATAGAAGCGCTGATAATAAATTATTTATCTTAATAAATATGGTAGGAAGAAAAGTCACATTCGTCGTTAGTTAACCAAAGTTTTAACTAAATAATGACTAAACCAAAAAAATGAAGAAAACCAATAGCAA